CAGACAGACAGACAGACAGACAGACAGACAGACAGACAGATAGATAGATATATGCAGAAGCCCACAGTAGAAACTGAACAGGACAATTAAAAAAAATCGGGATTACTTTACACCATATGAGAATATTAAGATCGAGCAGGTGCAAAAACAAGTGCATGTTTCAAAGGTACAGGTGCACCAGAAAATATCTGGTTATAGGAAGCTAAATCTCACAACATAATGATGTAACTGTTGCATGAGATCTCCACTTAAAGGTAACCTGATTCTTTCTTTTCCCCTCTTCAACCAAAATAAAATGTGTAAGCCTGTAAAATGTACCTGGCCAGCTGCAATGCAGTTTCTCTTTTTATGAGCAATTCTACCATAGGTTATTCTGACATCTCAATTCAATGTCTCTTTACTAAGAAGTAGTTCTCATAGATGCTATTATTATTTTGAAACAGGCATGCTCATAGCCTCTTATTTTTATCTATTGACCTAGTTAAAGAAGAGGCTAATATCTGAGTCCCTGTACAAGGTTGGAGGTTGGCCTTATGAGTCTTTAATAATAAGAGCAATCATTGTTTCTTACTTATGCTTAATTACTAACTTAATACAATAGCTTGTATGCCATTTAATTTTGATGGCTTCAAGAGGTTTACAAAATAACTTGTAAAAACCCATACAATCAACACACGGACGTAACATCTGAAACAAATAATATATGACCAGTTAAAATCAACAAATTCCCCAAAGGCAGCTCAGGATGATGACTTCTGCCCAAATGCTCATCAGAATGAGATGGGATGGGAAGATTCTAGCTCAAAACTGGAAGGTACTCTGCAGCTAAGCCATATACAGCCTTATAGGTTAAAAACAGCATTTTGAATTGGATCTGGAATCCTACTGGGAACCAATACAATGACCGTAGCACCAGTGTTACACTACTAAAGCAGCTTACCCTCGCCAGCAGAGTCAAATGCAGTTTCTGAGTTGTCTTCAAGGACAGCTTCATGTAGAGTGTATTGCAGAGGTTTAATTGTGTGGTAATAAGGATATGAGTTACTGTCTGAAATGGATCCTGGTTCAGTATGGGCACAAATGGTGCACCAGGTTTCCCTAGCCATGGTTCTACCTGATCCTAAGCAGACCAATGAGTCCAGAGAATCATCAAATCATGGAGCAGTTCCTTCAGTAAAATTGCAACCACATTCATAGCTAACTTTGGAATCAGAAAAGTTTACCTATGAACAGCTGTCCTACCATATGTAAAGAAGAGCATGTGGTGGCTGGTTTTCCTGCCCACAAGTAACAGTAGGATAGGAAATGGAACCAGACAATTCACTAACCACTATCCTTATGTAGTCCTGTGTCAAAGCTATAAGAAGAGTACTGCTTGCTGGTCTCCTTTGTGAGACAGATTACAACTCGACTACTGGGACAGCACAATTTATGTCACTATACCTTTCTGCTGACTCAAGGTCTGGAGGAATGCGTGTTGACATGGCCGTTTGTCTATGACCTAAAGCACCTTCCAGATTCATTCCACTCCCCTTTTCCATGCCAGGCAGGTTAACAAACACAGAATAGAGGCAAAGGGTGAAGTAGGAGTGTTTTGGAAAGCATCTGCCAGGCATTATGGAAGACAGAAGCCTAATGTCTGGTCTCTTCTGCAGCACAATTCACAATGGCTAAGGAGGGCAGCACCCAGAAAATGGAGGGGAGAAGGTGTCCTTGTAGCATCCTGAAGTAACCAATAGGAGCTGGACAGATCCCTGCCCCCAATGTTATCATCATTCACATCAATGAAGAATCATGCAAGAAACACAAGCAGAATAGTTCAAGTCCATAGCAGAAACACAAACTGGAATAGTTCAAGTCAACCTTAACTGCCCTGCTATCATCTAGGGATGCGACAAAGATAATGTCATACGGACTCAACCTATAAAACCAGTAACTAGGGCCCATTAATCCCATTTACAGGATGGTGAGGATGAGTCCCAATACTGTTTAAAACAAGAATCTCCTGAAGCTAGAATTTTGTGTAGCGAGAAGGTATCAATGCCTACATATCCCTATGACTGACTTTACTTGTCCTTGCTATTCTACAGTAAAGGCTGCCTTTGAAGACTACCCAGAAAATCCAACTGCTGCAGAATGTGGCAGCCCAGCTTGCTGGTGGGTGGGAGCCACTTCAGTTGAGTGAACCTGGTTCTGTGGGCACTGCAAGGGTTACCAAGAAGTTTCCAAGTGCAATTGAAAGTCTGTCCCTCCAAGACCACCCCTTCTAAGTGGAGTCTGCCTGCCCTACTTCAACTGAGCTTTGTGGTGGGAAGGGATTGGAGGCTATTCTTGTTGCTGGGGGCTCCAACCTTAGGGAACAGCCTCCCCACCATCTCTTTTTGGGGAGAAAACAAAAGGATGCAAACAAGAGGAGAGTTTTCATGTCAAAGCCACCAGCCCTATTGCTGGAAGCAGCCCCTGCTTGAATCCATCCCTCCCATTCCCTCTGGCTTCTTGGTTAACTTCACCCAATGCATCTTCTGGTAGGGACTGATTTTTTTTTCTAATATTTCATCTCATCAAACAAGTGACCAGGCTCAAATTATCCTACTTTTAGGCCCATTATGCAAAGACTTAGCTCTCTCGAGAAGCTTATGTTCTGGGAAAGGTGGAAGCAATGAGAAGATGACCACCAGCAGCAAGGGGGATGGACTCAGTTACAGGGGCGATGGGGGCACCGTTGGAAGACCTGAAGGACCAGGTTAGCGACAGATCGTATTGGAGGAAATCTATCTATGTGGTCGGTAAGAAGTGACACTGGATTGATGGCACATAATCAATCAACGTGAAGACCTAGCTGTCTGGAGAAGTCCATCATGCTGGGAAAGGTGGGAGGAAAGAGACCAGCAGTGAGGGGGATGGACTCTGTTCCAGGGGCGATGGGGGCACCCTTGGAAGACCTGAAGGACCAGGCTAGGGTTGAAGAAGAAGCCCACATTCTGGGAAAGGCAGAAGAAAGGGAAGATGACCCGCGGCAGCCAGGTGCACGGGCTTCGGCACAGCGGCGACGGGTTGAAAGGACCGGGCGGGTGAGAGGTCACGCTGCAGAGGCTGCTGCCACAGGGCAGGGAGCGTCGGCCCTGACTCGGTGGCCCATCAGCGAATCAAGGAGAATCAACCTTCCGCGGAGTCTCCTATCTGCACCCTTCAGCGCGCGTCCTGCCCGGGGAGGCT